GATGGTACCTAACACCTGAGACCCTAGCCAAAATTAATAAGAACAAAAAAAAAAGACCGATGTTGGAAATGTGGGAGGGAAAAAGGAACATTTTTACATATGTGGTGGAACTGTAAAAAGATAAAATACTGGGTACAAATTCATAGATTGATAGAAAAAATACTGGAGATAAAATTCGAATTTAGACCAGAAATTCTATTACCAGGACTTCACAATCTTAAACTCGAAATGAATGATGACAAAATAATTTTCTATTTAACAACAGCTGCTAGGATGGTCCTAGCAAAAATGTGGAAAATTAAAGAAGTTCCAACACTAGAACATTGGACTAGCAAAATAATGGACATAATAAACACGGACATCTTGACACAGAGGATTTCCCAAAACTACAGAATACCTCAAAGAACCAACTGGAAATCAGTATTAAAATTCATAAAGGAGGAAAACAATGGGATGTACACAATAGATATATAAAAGTAATCCAAGAAAAAGATGAAAGCAAAGAAAGTATAGGGGATTAAATACCCCGAGCAAATAACCATATTGATATCTTGTTAAGGAAACCAGTCACAAGGTGCGAAACAAAACTTAACAGTTATCTTAAACACACCAGGAAAAAAAAAATTGAGAAACTTGAACTTAATACGTAAAGTTAAGAATGTTTGAACCACTCTGGATAAACCTGGAAGTACCCCCCCCCCCATCCTTGTTGTTCCCACCTACCCATCACTTTCTTTCCCTATATGTGACCCGCCCCCCCCCTTCCTCCCCAACCCTTTTCCTTCATTATGGCCACCCTTTGTAACTTTCCCCTCTACCCATACCCTGCTTTTAATAATATACATGTAAAATAAAATTATTAAATAGAGATAAATATGAATTACAAAATTAGGAAATATACGTAAATTAACAATAGATATAGGGGGAAGCCTCCTCAACCTGTATGTTTATATGTAAGGTATTTGTTGTGTTTGATGTCTTGCCCTGTTTGTATATATGTTGGTGTTGTTCAAAACCTTTTCAATAAAAAAAAGAAGAAGCAAAAGGTGACAAATAAACGATGACCACAGATTGCAAATACTCAATATACATAACATTGCCTAAGAAAGGAGATACAATAGATTGCTATATGAAGAGAATCACTGCCTTAATTTCTATGCAAGCAAAGTTACCCTCAAAATTCTACAATAAATACTGTGGCCATATATGGAGTGGGAAAGGCAGATATCCATGCTGGAATCGAGAAAGAAAGAAGTGCTAGGTATCATATTACAAACATACAAGTGATAAGGAATTACAACAAAGACTTTCAGAAGGAAATCAGCCTGTACTTTACAGATTATAGCAAAACCTAATGTTCTGTAAATCATGAAAAACTATGGATTGCTCATAAGAAATGGGTGTGCCACAACAATTATCCTGATGCATAACCTGTACTCAGGACAAAAAGCTACCATTAGCAAAGAATAAGAAGAAACTGAGTCATTTTCAATTGACAAGGGCCTCGGGCAAAGCTGCATTTTATCCAATTTTTTAATTTGTATGATAACATATGTAAAGCAAGACTAAACTCAAAGGAAGAGGCATGAAAATTGGAGGACGGAATGCCAACATTTTAAAATATGTCAATGACACCATACTACTTGCAGAACATGGCAAAGGCTTGGAACAATTAATGAAGAAAATGAAAGAAATATATGCAAAGGCACGTATGTATGAAGAAAACAAAAATAACAACCACAAATGAAACATAACTTTAAAGCTGACAATGAAGACATGGAAATAGTCCCAGATTTTCCATACCTTGGTTCTCAGACATTAATTAGAATTGGACTGCAATCAAGAAATCCAAAAAGGTCCAGGGCTTGAAAGGGCAGCTATGAAAAAACTACACAATATCTGGAGGTATAAAGATGTATAATTGAATACTAAAGTTAGGGTTCCCCATGCTATCGTATTTCCCATTTCTATCGGAAAACAGCCAATATCCAGGATTTAATCTTGGAGGAACATGCAAATCTGGCGTGCATAACAGAGACCTGGTTGGAGGTGGCTTGGGGTGGTGGTGGTTAATCTCACCCTGCTCTGCCTGCTAGGCTTGGGGTGGTGGTGGTTAATCTCACCCTGCTCTGCCTGCTAGGCTATTCCGTGCAGCACCAGCCAAGATCTGGAAGCCGGGAAGGCGGAGTCGCCGTGTCTATAGGTGCCCCATCCCACAGTAAACCACCTTTGAATGTGTCCACCTAAGAGGAGGTGACCGGGATGGAATAGGGATTCTGTTAGTGTATTAATGCCCCGCTGCACTACAGTCTCCTTGCCTGAGCTAGCCGGGATGATCTTAGGTCTGGCGTTAAGAGTCCCAGTGGCTCATAGTGCTGGGGAACTTCCATGTCCATGTAAAGCCCACCTTGTCAGGAGTGGCTCAGGACTTCATGGTCACCATGGCAACCATGGGGCTGTCCCATCTAGTATCTGGTCCTATTCACAGAGCTTGACACACACTAGACTTGGTTTTCTGCCAGGGATGGGAGAAAGGTGGTGGTGTGGAGGAGCTGACCGTTTCCGCAGGAGCAAAGGCAAAGGCAGCAGCAGCAGCAAGGGACCCACGAGAGTCCTGCCTCTTTCTCTCACCTGCCTTGCCTGCTGTGTTGTGTTCCCTGAACCACATTTTAAAATGACCATCAATACAGACATTTTCCTTCTAACAATTGATCAAAATTATATTTCAACCAGGTGCATCTTCAATACTTTAGAAACACTTTAGAAATGAAATGCTAGTGCCCCTCAGTTTTGGAATGACTTTTGAAACATTGTTTCTATCGCTCGCACATGCCTATGTGTAGCTTCTTAGCAGGTCTGTACTTAGAATCATAGAATCACAGAGTTGGAAGAGACCTGGTGAGCCATCGAGTCTAACCCCCTGCCAAGAAACAGGAAAATCGCATTCAAAGCACCCCCAACTTTTTTAAACAAAGGCCATCCAGCCTCCGTTTAAAAGCCTTCAAAGAAAGATTCTCCATCACACTCCAGGGCAGAGAGTTCCACTGCTGAACAGCTCCCACAGTCAGGAAGTTCTTCCTAATGTTCAGGTGGAACCTCCTTTCCTGTAGTTTGAAGTCATTGTTCCGCATCTTAGTCTTCAGGGCAGTAGAAAACAAGCTTCCTCCCTCCTTCCTTATCACTTCCCCTCACGTATTTATACTTAGCCATCATGTCTCCTCTCAGCCTTTTCTTCCGCAGGCTAAACATGCCCAGCTCTTTAAGCCACTCCTCATAACCGTGTTCTCAAGACTCTTGATCGTTTTTGTCGCCCCCCCCCCCCCCGGACACATTACAGCTTGTGAACATCTCCCTTCAATTGTGGTGCCCAGAATTAGACACAGTATTCCAGATGAGGTCTGGCCAAGGGCAGAATAGAGGGGTAGCATGATTTCCCTGGATCTAGACACTATATTCCTATTGATGCAGGCCAAAATCCCATTGCCTTTTTTAGCTGCCGCATTACATTGTTGGCTCATGTTTAGCTGTTGTCTATGAGAACTCCAAGATCTTTTTCACATGTGCTGCTGTCAAACCAGGCATCCCCAATGGGTCTCCAGCAGAAGTCCAGAAATCCCTTCATTTCAATAGGGTTCACTATTACTTGAGGTTTCACATCTCCACCCAAAAGTGTGGAAACATCCTCTCTCTTAAAAAAAAATATTCTGCAGGTAAAAGCATTGTAATACATTTCTATTTTTCACCTTCCGGGTGAAAAGAGTGGGGTATAAATATAGTAAATACATACATACAAATAACTGCTACACTTCGTAAGGGTTTGGGATCTTGTAGGAGTATTCACGTTTCTTAAATCCAAGGCTAGCAGGCAATTGTAAAGGGCAAAGCGAATGTAAACTTTTGGAAAGCCCGCCATTCATTACCATCCACATCTGTAATATGTGCTGCCGTTACACACAACATGACATTTTGTATACTTCTTTTGCATCCTCCCTACCTCCAGGTTGAACGCCTCGAGGCGTTTGCGGTGCGTGCGTCAGGCAGATGGGCCTCCTGTTACCCTGGCAACTGCCTGGGCCCTGCCGTTCCATCCCCTACAACCTGCATTTGCACCTTGCAAAGGAGGTGCTCAAGGAGGTGGAGTCAGGAAAGGAGGAGAAGAAGGCGGCGCGCAGACAGGTGAGTGGCTTCCAGGCATGGGCACCTCCAGGGCACCCCTCAGGGATTCACGCTATATGCAAATGCGTATCTTGCCTATTGCTTCAGCCACCCGTTAGACACGATAGAACTACCCACTGTTCTATCGTGAATGAATGAATGAAACCATTCTACTCTGTCAAAACAATAAAGTACACTTCAAGAGATAGTTCAGATTTTCCAAAATGTTCTAAAGCTGGAGTGTTAAAATAGTATTTTACCCCAAATGAATTGTCTCGCTGCCCAGCTGTCCAGGCCAGTCCACAGAAAGTCTCTCAAACTTCATGCTTGATGCTGCCGCTGCCTCTCCACCCCTTACCTTAGAAAAGTGTCTTCTAGATTGTTGGTTAAGAGAAGGGCTTTAAATGCAAACTGTTGAATTATGATCAAATTCAATGAACATAGATGGGTTTGGATTTGAATGATCCAGTCCCCTCTCTCAAATTGACAGCATTACATTCCTCCTGGCTGATGTCAGTGTTTTTGATTTCACATTTACAAATGAGCACCACTATATAGAACCCAGTGTGAACACCATAATGCTAAGAAGAGACTACATGATTTGGAGTGATCGTATGTAGAGATCTATGTAACTGTGAAGTTCCACATGTGAATGATGACAAAAGAGGCTGGCCAATATAATCCCAAATCCTCATTTAACTGAGAATTTGAGAATCTTTTCAGACTTAAGTATACATATAAAAGAGAAAGAGTCTGCATAATAATTAATATAAATATATCTTCATCAACACTCTAATGCAACTGTATTGAAGACTACATAATGAAACTTTGAGAATTTCCGCTACCTGTGTTCCCTCATTCCCTCTGTTTCCTTTTCTTTCACAGTTGAAGGCTCTTCAAGATCATAGGAGAAAAGGTGAAAGGGGCTATGTGGTACATAAGGCATTTTTTCAATCGTTGGAAACACTTTCGGAGTAACTGAAGATGCATTTTGGACGCAGTTGATGGACACAGATGAGGAAGCTGATGATGGGAGGTTATAATCGTGTGAAGCAAATGAATCAGACACAGAAGCTGATGGACTCCTGGATGGACTTTGTGTCCTAAAGCTCACTGGTGGCCTCTCATCCTGAGAAAGTACACTTGAGGTACCTGAAGACTCAGAACTTTGTGTACTGTATTTAACCACCTGTAGTTCTGGGAGCTCACTAGATAGAAGAGGCAGGTGGGAAGGGAATAAAGAAAAGGCAGAATAGGAAAGGGGAGAAAATGATATTACTGAAAGGATCTTAATAAATGGCTTATGATGAAAGCAATTAAAATCTTTAGATCATACACATGCAAAACTTGCCTAAGAGACCAAAGAAGGTGGAATATAGTCTTCAGACTCTCTTTCCCATGGGATACATCCATGTACCTAGTTTCCCTTGATATATCTCATATGTCTAAATGAGATAAATATCTTTGAAATTAAAGGGAATGGTTCAGGAAAAAAACTAAAATTGGAGCGGGAGAGCCATGTTCCTGTTTAGGATATATAAACATAATGAAATCTCTCACTCCATTAAAAATAGTACATTTTAGTGACATGTATTACATTTATTTTGATTACAAAAATGTTTTAAAATAAGGTGGTATTCTACAGTCCCTGGGATAGGTCTGTACAGGGTGCTGCTACAGTTTCTGTGGAAGGGAAGGGATATATGTTGAGTGCCTCCCTTAGAGTTACCCTGCTGTCAGTGCTCCAGTATCAATGATAATATAGGTTAAAAAATTAGGTATCTTTACATGTGTTCAATATTTTAGCCTTATGTATAGTTAGATCCAATTTAAACAACTGAACAGGTTAATCACAAACTTCTTAAGTCCCTTTGACCAAGGTGATTCTACTTGAAACCAAAATAAGGCTGGGTCTAAGAAAGTACATACATGAAGAAATTGGGTTTGTGTAGTCAAATTTTAGTAAAAGAGATTTCAATGAAGAGAAAGCATATATATTCTAAACTGGTGTTGTTAGCTACTTAAGTTAATGTAATGTTCAGCTCAACTCTTGTACAGGCCTCAGTCCTAATACCTGGCTTTGACCTGCCTAGTAGCCTCTTCTTCCCCCTCATCCTCTGTATTAGGCTCTGTGATTGGCTGTTCCTCTTCCTCTTCATTCTCCTCCTCTCTAGGGTCAACCAAGGGGAAGAGGCATGCAGATGGATAGAAAGACAGAACACAAGAAGAAATAAAATGAAGAAACATTTTTATCAAATAAAATGAAATCGAAACAGTAATGAGAGAGGGAAAGAAAGGGGACAGAAACAGTTAAAGCATCAAAACAATGACTAGAAATATATGCTAGTTAGCATGATGCCATTCTATTGCTCAAAACAGCAAGGTTTCCCCCCCGATCAAACAATATGCTTCCAATGCATTTTATGCTAGTTTACTATAGATTTTGTGTAAAGTATATCCTCTATTTAATGCTATTTTTACTTTTCTCGTAAAAGACATGATGCAGTAGTCTTGTAAGTGCTTATTCACTCATTATGGTGGGATGCTTCTACATGCAATAAGTGTTTAATTTCCCCCCTTTCTGCACATTTCCTACCCTTTCTCTTTGGAAAAAGGGAAGCCCAGATGCATAAATGAATACAACATTGAATAGTTGTGCAGAAACAATTGTTTTTAGTTATTAAAGATTACAGATTTTTAATAAGTTATATCCATCCAAAGAGGAGGAAGATAAGACAGTATAGACTGAGAGATAGCCCTGAGATATGAGTTCTGCAGGTATGTAGCTTGGTGAACATTCTCTATGTGATGAATAACAATTAAGTTGCTGAATTCAGAATAAGAGTGGCACACAAAGTTGCTGCAAATTAGATAATACTTTCTCCTAAAATGGTGTTCTGTTAATTGCAAATTACTCCTATTAATTATGAATATGCAAGATTCAGAGAGAGAAATACAGCACATATCTACTTAAAATCAAAAATTTAGCATCATATTAAGATTCTCAGTGATATTACAACCAAGCAGAAATGTTGCATGGCATTTTGAGTTTAAAGCATCTTTACATGAATAGATCTTGTGTACCATTCTGATTTCAAACTCCTGAAGTGGGAAAAAGGCATTTATATCCTTATACTGGCACCCAGAAAGAAAGAAAAAAACCCACCTTATTCGATGGATGATATGGATGTATCCAAATTACAAATACACTAAATTGTTCTTTTAAGCAGAAAGGAAGGCAGATATGATATCAATCTGTTATGTGCAAACAATAAAACAAAAAAGTATAAAGTAGTGAAACACAAGTAATGTCTCCCATTTCTTGTACTCACTTTTCACTGAGATCTTCAGTGCCCTGCCCATGGCTAATCATAAAGTTGGGGCTTGCCTGAGTGCAAGGGCTAGCAGGGGCTGATAAAGTGCTTTTGGCGTTCTGGGCAGAATGCCTGCGACTCCTCCTACGTTCCAGCCACCTTCGCTCATTGCAGCCGAGACTGGCCCTTCTTCGATCTTTGCGGCCACTAGGAGGAGCCTCACCATTGTCATTCCCATCCTCATGCTGCAGCGTCATCTGAAAATGAAGTGGAATGATGTGCATTGATCACAACACCAAATGCTTTCCATTTTCTACAGAGATCCAAGTGTATGCCATGTCTCACCTGCTACGGCATCTGGGGTTATCTGTTTGTTCCTATTCTCCACTATGTATCACTCTCCACTTCTAATGTTTCCTACATGTACGTAGTACTCAGTCTGCTCATATGTAAATTCTCAATATCAAATGCATGTTGCCTCCTCTCTGTCCTCTTTCCTTCCTGGAATTATTCAAGATGGTTTATGGCATTAGAAATTGAAACAGGGTTTGGCTGAATATATGGTGGATGTGTAAATTTGAGGTCATACCCATTACTAGAATGAAAACTTGCCATCACTTAAACTGCCATCACCAGTGGCTATCCTTTTCCAAATGAAAAAGTTGGGTGGAGCTCAGTGATCAAATCTTAATCAAAGCGAAAAATCACAGAATAGAAATACAGAGTTATATGGCAACCTTTAACTCAGCAACATTGGAGATTCAATTTAAGATTAAAAATATTTTGAAGCCAAATTATGAATACTACTATTGGTTGGAAGAAATCGTGCCTCCCTATGTCAATTGAGGAAGTGGGTGAGTGCTTGGCTTCAGTTACAACTTTAAAAGTTATCCACAGTGCTGAACCTATTTTAAGAGGTACCACCTGGAAGGAGTAGAACAGCAGTGCACTGTGGCCTATGTATAGTAGCCGAAAATGTTGTCTTCCTGTTACTACAGATTCCCTTATAAAGGAGTTAACAGTCCACTGCTGCTCACATTTCCTAACTTTTTCTTACAAAGATTGCTAGAAGCATCAAAGACCTCTCTTTTCCTGGACAGTAAAATCCTAGGATTTCTCCACACGTAGAAGAAAACAGAAAGTGCTATAACAGCATATAAAGTACTATTACACAATCTAAAAATGACTTACAGTTATCTTTTCTTTTGTTATACTCATATACCATAATGTCATGCCCCAGCATGCATCTGTGATACTATGTTTGCTTTGTAGTTTGGCCCATTCGGCTTTCTGTAGTTTTAGAGTTGATGTAATAACTCTTCCCTTCTCTCTCAGTGCCATGTTTGTTGCTCCTCCCTTCTCTCTCTGTGCTATACTTGTTGTTCTAAAAGAAACATGACTGCCCAGTTTCTGAGAAATTATCATTTTTTCACCTGCTGAAGCACGATGTTCCACAAGATTATTAGATTAAAGCATTTTAAATCTTTTTGACGTCTCTTCAGTCGAGTTGATGCTATCTGACAACATACTTTTGGTGTGAGTTTAACAGAAGTAGTTTTAGGACTCAGCACAAACCCCATGCTCATACCCAGCTAATGAGTCAGAATACATAACATCAAACCTCTTTCTCTATAAAGCGTATATTACATTTCTGTTAAACTATACTAATATTCAAATCCAATAATCATGAATTCACCTTTTCCCTTAAAATATCTATTGGGGCTTGCAATCTTTTCAAATCAAATCAAATCATTTATTTTGGTCATAGACCAGCATAGGAAATAAGTCACAGTTTCATACAAACTTGGTACGTTTAGTACATTAAAATATAAATATAAATACTGAAGCACAAAAGGGAATGGAAAGGGAAATAGAGTAAAAACATACAATGCACAGGTCTATCAACAAATTATAGATTCAAGGAAGATGATTACTGGATATACAGTTAACTTTTGGGACCAGTCATCCCCTGATGGATTTTGTACACTGCTGCACAAAACTTTGCAACATTGTAGGTTGTAGCTGAATTAGTATCTACAAGTAGCAGGGAGGTATAAAATTGTCCTGAATGGCCTGGGTGCTTGTATATCAGACCCCCTCGATGGACTTGCGTGTCCAATGAATCTGTGGGAGCAACAACTGGAGTTTGCACTCTCAGGAGCGGCCACAGGGGAGGTTTCAGACGAAGCACAGTCTGAAGACCCAAAGACCTCAACAGCGGAGCAGGCGGAGGATAACATGGTACATGTTACAAGGGCTGTGAAGGCGGAAGAAGACTGCAACAGATTGAGAAGCCATGGTCGTTGTGTTAACTATGCCACTAGATGGGACCTCACTCTGTGAAGACTGTGTGTTGATCAGCTGTGCACTGATCTCCACATATTTAAAAAAACTCACACAAAAGTGTCTTCCAAGAAAAAAATAAAAACAAACCAACAAAACTCCCACGGCGATCAGCAAGTGGCGACAGGGGCAGGACTGTGAAATCTGGAAGCCCCTAGTCACAGACTGGCACATGGATGGTGGATACGGACTCTGTTGTTCTACCTCAAGGTCCGAGGCAGTTGAGTAGTTCAGCAGCTGTATCCATGACTGAGCAGCTCTTTCTAGGATCCACTCTGCTCACCCCACACGGGGAACGTGCTAGAAAAGGTGCCCTAAACAAAGTCTGCCTCTCTTATCCCTGAATGGACTGCCACGTCCAGTGGTGTCACCACCCTGTGGCCAAAAAAAATGAACTTTTGAACATGCAACATACGGATACTGCTGGACAACACTGACAGTGAACGCTCCGAACACAGAACTGCTATCATTGCAAGGGAGCTGGGATGCATAGCAGCCCTTCAGCAGAGGAGGGACAGCTGAAGGAAGAAAAGGGAGGCTACACCTTCTTCTGGAAGGGTCTGCCTGAAGAAGAACTAAGAATGCATGGAGCTGGCTTTGCTATCAGAAATGATCTGGTGAAGCATCTGACCGAAGCACTCATTGGTATTAACGAATGACTATCAGCCTTCCAAATTAACCTTGCCAAAAACCAACAGGCAACCATCGTAACTGCCTATGCACCAACACTAGATGCTGACGAAGACATCAAGGAAAACTTTTACTGTCAGCTGGACACCATCCTATCGGAGATACCCAAGGAGGACAAAATCATCCTCCTGGGGGACTTTAATGCAAGAGTCGGATAAGACTTCGCCCTGCAGCCAGGGACCATAGGAAAAGACAGGGTTGGAAACAGCAACTCGAATGGCATCCTGCTTCTCACCAAATGTGTGGAACACAACCTTGTCATCACCAACATGCTCTTCAACCAGAAAAACAAGCTCAATACATCATGGAAGCACCCCTGATCAAAGCATTGGCACCTCTTAGACTATGTAATCACATGTGCCAAAGACCGCCGTGATGTGCTTCTCACAAGAGCCATGACAGGTGCTGACAACTGCTGGACAGACCACAGGCTAATCTGATCCACAATGGCTATCAAGATTGCCCCCCAAATGCAGACTTTAAGGAAGAAAGACAAGGTGCAAAATGAACACCCAAGCCCTTCAGGAGCCCTCCAAATGAGCCCTTCTCCAAACAGCATTCAAGGACCATCTACTCATAGAACACCCCAAAAATGTTGAGGAACATCGGAACAAACCAAAGACCTCCATCATCGCAGCCTGTGAAGAAACTATTGGATATTAAACCAAGAAACATCAAGATTGGTTTGACAAAATGACGAGATCCAACAGCTAATTCACAAAAAAAGGAAATCCAAACATGGCAGAAAGACATCAACTGTGCTGCTAAAAAAAAGATCAACACCAGTGCCAAAGCTGAAGTCCAAAGAAGGTCAAGAGAACTCAAGAACATCTGGTGGACAAAGAAGGCTGAAGAAATCCAACACCTGGCAGATACCCATGACGCTCAGGGATTTTTCAAAGCCACAAAGGTCATCTATGGACCAAGAAACCATGGCATACACTCTCTACACTCATCAGATGGAACCATACTTTTGAAGGACAAAAAATCAATTGCACTATGTTGGAAAGAACTAAACCAAAGCCTCCTAAATCACAGCTCCAATGTGGCCAGATGTTCTCTCACAAATCCCACAACCACAAACTAGGGATAAGCTTGCAGCACTGCCTAGTTTGGAAGAAGTCAGCAATGCCATCAGCCAACAAAAATAAAATAAAATAACAAAGCCTGATGGGATCCCTGCTGAATTCTTTAAAGAGGGAGGACCTGAGATGACACAACAACTCCAGCAGCTCATAGAAAAAGTGTGGGTGACTTGAGAAAATCCCAGCAGATTTCAAGAATGCCACTATTCTCACCCTTTTCAAAACAGGGGAAAGAACAAACTGCAGAAACTATTGAGGTATCTCCCTTCTAACCTCCGCTGGGAAAATCCTCGCAAGAATCCCTGAAAACAGCCTTCTACCTTTCTCAGCCTTCTACCTTTCTCAGAAGATGCCCTCCCAGAATCCCAGAACAACTTCTGGTCCTCCAGAGGAACAGTGGACATGATCTTCACTGCACGTCAGCTCCAAGAAAAATGCAGGGAACAAAATCAACCTCTATACATGGCATTCATTGACCTTGCAAAGGCATTCGACACAGTGAATTGCACTGCTCTGGACCATCCTTTAAAAAATCGGGTGCCCTATCAAACTTGTGAACATCCTACAGCTCCTCCATGATGACATGATGGCAACCGTCTTGGACAGTAATGGCTCCCAAAGTCACCAATTAAAGGTGTAATCAGGTATCAAACAGGGATGTGTTATTGCCTCAACCTTATTATCCATCTTCATTGCTATGATGCTTCATCTTGTTGATGGGAAGCTTCCCACCGGAGTGGAAATCATCTATCCAACAGATGGCAAGCTATTTAACCTCAGCAGACTGAAAGCCAAAACCAAGGTTACAACAACATCTGTTATAGAACTCCAATACACCGATGACAATGTTGTCTGTGTGCATTCAGAAGAAAACCTACAAGCCACTCTAAACACCTTTGCAGAAGCATACGAGAAGCTCGGCCTGTCATTGAACATTGAGAAAACCAAAATGCTCTTCCAGCAGTCACCAGCCAATCTCTCTCCAATGCTAGTAATACAGCTTAACGGTATAACATTAGAAATACAACTGAAATACAACACCATCTGAGCTCTGCGAGTGCAGCATTCTTCCGAATTAAGCAGAGAGTGTTTGAGGACTAGGACATCCGTAGGGATACCAAGGTGCTTGTTTATAAAGC